CTGGGAGAAGGTCTGAGCATCCCAATAGTGGCTTCATTGCCAGGGAGGAAGAGGTACAAAGGGCAGGCTGGAAGCGAGGACTGTGCACGTTTCTATGTTCCCCCGTCAGTTTTCCTAATTGCTGAATCTCAGAAGGGGAACGCTGAAAAAACTGATAACACCAGGCGGCTTTCCGCACGGCTAAAGGAAAATAATACGGCCTGGGAGAAGGTCTGAGCATCCCAATAGTGGCTTCATTGCCAGGGAGGAAGAGGTACAAAGGGCAGGCTGGAAGCGAGGACTGTGCACGTTTCTATCAGCCCCGCGCCCCAGCCCCCGCCGCTGGGCCCACCTGCAGGTTTGTATTTTCTAATGGGAGGCAATTCTCAACCGTATTTTAATTTTTACATTTTGAGCGTTGCAAACCAGGGATGGACAAATACCGGCTCGGGGGCTGGATCCGGTCTGCCGGGGTTAGCCAACGCCGGGCCTTCACACAGCTGGATTTACCTGCGCCGCTGCAGGTACAGGGGACCACCGCTCCCATTGGCCGCGGATCGCCATTCCTGGCCAATGGGAGTGGCAATTGCCCGTACCTGCGGAGATGCAGGTCAGTACAGCAGCAGGGGCCCGCCAGAGGCTAATCCTGGCGACTTGCCGCCGTTTCATTACCCAGCCCTGGCCAGAAACAGTTTGTGGGGATTCCAAGTATTTTAACAGGCTGCACAAGGAAAGGACCAATGGCCAAGTCCCTTTCAGGGGAGATGGGGAGGGGCTGAGGACAGGAACAGGACCCATCATGCAATGTGGGAAGGCCGAGTACGGATCAAACTTTTTATTCCTCTCCTCATCCCCACCCCGCCTTCCCCTTCTACGCTCGTCTCTGAACTTGTCATTTCCAAACTGCTGCCGCGGATCCCAAGCGGACCTGAGAGCACACTTTCTGAAAGCATCTGTTCCCTCGGCTCACCTTCCGCCAGCCTGCAGTGGAAGTCAGCTTCTCTGCGCCGCTAAGAATCCCTCATTTCACAAGAAAAGATCAAGGGTTCTGAGGTCCACATTCAAACGTCACACTAGTCACGAGGTAGCCAGAGGCTGCCTCCAATTCCCTAGGGGCTGTAAACGACCCGAAACCCAAACTTGCCACGGTCAGTCTCCAAGGAGTGGTTACAAATTCCTGGCAGACCAAGGGACCGGTACCAGATTTCATGCCCCGTGTCTCTCAGGACACCAGGACTAGAAATGAAGGGGTCGCACTATAGAACTGGAGTTCCACTAGCATGGGGCTTTCTTACCACGCTCTGGCAGGCGGACAGTTATAGTTTGGACCTTAGAAATCACTTCTGGTCAGTGCTTGACCTCCCCCACTACCGAAGCATGCACACGCCTGTCAATCCCAACATGTTCTTAGCAGCCACTCATCAGAGGTGCAAACCAAGGCCTCTGACCATCTGAAAACAAAAACCTGCAGCTTTCCCAACAGGATCATCTATCAAATATTCGGGTCTATTTCCAGGGCTGCATGAGGCTTTGGCTGCTAAAATCAGGATGGAATTAAAGTTCTTAAAAATCCTCATGAGTAGTCAATGTCTTAATTGTAAGGACAAAAGGAAAAACGATGTAGCACTTTGAAGACTAACCAACCATCTTGTTAGTCTTCGAAGTGCTACATAATTTTTCCTTTTGTTTTAGCAAGATCAGACTAACACGGCTCCCTCTCTATTAATTGCCAGGGGTATGCTTTTATGACTAAGCTAGGACAAGAGCAGTCCCGGACCAGTAATGCTTTGCTCTGCACTGCTCCTGAACCAGTGATGGGAAAGGGGAAAAAAAATCCTTGTTCCCCTCTTCTAAAGGGATCTCCCGGGTGCCTGATGGTTCTCTCTGATGGGCATGTCCGGGAGTACTTCAGAAACACCACAACGTGCTCACCCATAAGAGCTGCTGATTGCTTTTGAGCCAGCTTCCCAGCTGTGCCCATATACAGCAGTGAAGGATCTGGCCTGGGGAGCTAAGTGAGCTGCAGATGCAGAGAACCGTGCAGTGAGTTTCACGAGGCATTTCGCGCCATATGGAAATAGAAATGGGCCTGAATGGCCAAATCCAGATGTGGATTGACCCTTTCCCAAAGCGGGAGGGCATTCAGCGCTAGTGTTTTGGCTCAGCTCAAACCATGTGCTGGAAGAGGGAAAGACTAAATTCTACAGCTGGCCAAATTATTTATTGCAAATAAATTATCCAACTAATTTAGCTCCTCTATCTGCAAACTGTGCACAGACCCAGCCCGTGGAGTTCTTGTTCTTGCTGTGCTCGTCAGTCATCACCTTATTGACTGTTCGGGATGAGGAGGCCCAAGCCGTCACCACTGCCCGACGTCTGAAGTGTATCTGGACCCTGAACTGTGTATGGGGTCAACCCCTACGGCCTGTGACAAGCCAGAGGCGATTGTTCTGCTGCCTTCCCAGCTTGATCCAAGGGGGAGGGAGAGCTCAGTGGTTTGAGCAATGGCCTGCTAAAGCCAGGGTTGTGAGCTCAATCCCGGAGGGGACCATTTAGGGATCGGGGCAAATCTGTCAGAGTTGGTGCTTGGTCCTGCCATGAGGGCAGGGGACTGGACTCGACCTCTTAAGGTCCCTTCCGGCTCTATGAGACAGGTATATCTCCATATAAAAATGAGGGTTGTGCTGCACCAGCCCTTGCACGGCTCCCTACAGCTTCTCCTGCATTTCCTCCAGACAGCGCTCAGGCTCCAAGGGCTGCAGTTAGGAGGTGTGGATCCCTCCCCATGCCAGCTGATGTCAGCAGGAGCTGAAGGAACTCAGCAGCTCTGAAAATCAAGCCCTTGATCGTGGGACTAACTGCTTCTGCAGCCCCCAGGCAAGGTGTGGTGGGGCCCATCTCCGTTCTCCGAAAGGGGCGGAGCCTCAGGTGGAAGGGGCAGGGCAGGGCAGCCACCCCTCAGTGCTGCCAGGACCACAGTGCTGGACCACCCCCCCCCCCCCCCCCCCACAGCCAAGCGGAGCGTGCAGCACAGTGCTCTGGTGGCGATTTAAAGGGCCTGCTGTCGCAGCTGGGAGCCCTGGAGCAACTGTCCCTTTTGCTTCCCCCTCCTTTCCCCCCAGGGACAGGCCTGCCCATGACATACAAGGGTTACTGGTACTGTGTTCACATGGAACCACTTACGCTCGCTGGCTCAAGTATCCATCCAAGCTTTTCACTCCAGGGTCATAAATATGGGGAAACCAGGCTCACTGGCTGATTTTCAGCCCGTAGCTTGTGCTCCCTGCCAAGCAAAGGAGAGCCAAAGCATGCAAAATACGGTGGAAATAAACACAATCAAAACCCAGCCAAACTTTGCTGACCTTCCAAAATAGTTTGTCGTTTAGTCAGTTCAAGTACTTGCTTGAAGCCAGACTTGTCGGCCTATCCCTGACTGAACGGATTTGAGCAACTGCTATTTTTCCTACATGTTACAACGTAGACGAGGCGGGATGGAAAAACAAGGAGGCTTCATTTTCCCCAGAATTCGCCCACCAACTTGATACGGCGTCCCCAATGGCAGAGCAACCCTGCGACTCCAGGCCTGACAGGCTGTCCTCAGCTCGGAGGCAACTCGAGGGGTTTATGCTTTCCTGCTCTAGGCCTGCCCGCTTCGACTGCAAACTGGCTTGGTTATTTCTGCCGTGCAGGTGTCTGACGCTGCCTGTTAGACTGAGCCCGGCAACCCACGAGTCACATAGGCTGCCAATGTGAAGCTGCCCGATGGCTTTAGCTTTGGGTTACCGCTGGCCTGGTCTAGGTTAGAAACAGTGATCTAGAGGTGAAAGGCTCTCACGGCCAATTACTACTTGCCCTCCACCCTGTGAAGGACATTCCAGGTTCACTGATGAATCACTACGTCTCCCTGAGCTTTCGGTAGGTCCTACTATAAAAAGGAAACAGTAAACACAACACTCGGATGCCCCGAGAAGATCCTCAGGAAGTCAAGCATGGAAGCACAAGAGTTCTAACTGCCAGCTGGGAGGCTGCCCCGTTCTTTGGCCCACCAGGGAGGGAGGAAAGCAGGGGGCTCTGAGTCACTCGTCAGGGTCCCCTCGGGCTGAGAATTGAGATGTGCATGCTCCAAGGGAAGGCTCCATCCTCTCTCAATGGGGAGGACGCTGGCCCAGTGTGTCCAACGCTGGCCCGGCTCTTCTGGCTTATTTTGCCAGACTCCCTGAAATCTGCTCACAGCCTCCCCACCCCCCAGCGGGCCCTGAACCACTAGTTGAGAACCACTGACCTATGGTACTTAGGGATAAATAGAGACCTACCCAATCCACGGCCCATTCTGGTCAATTTCACGGCCATAGGATTTGCAAATTAGTCAGTTTCATGTTCCCAGCAGTCTACATCTGAAATGTCGGTGTTGTGAGTGTGGGGTCCCGACCTAAAAGGGATTGTGAGGGTGGGAGTCACGGGATTGCCACCCCCCCTTTTGTGAGCTACCTGCAGCTGCAAGAGGCTCCCGGAGATGGCTCTAATCTGCCTCCGGCTGCTGGGAGCCCATCCGGGGCTCCCCACTAGGCTGGGGAAGGGACAGGACTTGCTCTTCCCTGGCACAGTTGCTCTTAGAGGGGAGGGGGCAGATGAAACCCACCACGGGGTCCCTCTTCCTGGTGAAGGAAGCTCTGCGGCTGTTGGGGAAAAGCAGGCCCTATCCCGTCCAGCCTGGGAACAAGCAGCCGGTTCAAGGGAAACGGTAGGACCCTGGATGGGGCGCCCCAGCTCTGCCCCTTTTTCTCCCCCCGATAGCTAGATTGCACAGCAAAGGCTTATTTCACACACTGGGACGCGTTCTCCATGGCTGTGAATTTGGCCCTTGGGACGAGGCAATGCCGCCACGAAACGCCTGTTTGCTAACCCTGCATAGGCTGGTCGGGACAAGCGCCAGGAAACCTCCGTCCGCCCAGGTCTCTCCTCCCACCCCTTCCTCCGCTGAGAGCTGCTTCTGCGCCCAGCCGAGCGCACCCCTCACTCACTTGCAAGACAGCTGGTTGATCCCCTCGATGTAGTAGCACACCCCGCCGTTGGCGCAGTAGGACTTGGCTGTCTCGTTGCACTTCCTGGCGTGTCCCGACCAGGAGGAGAGCGTGGTCGTCACTGCAAAGGACACAAGCAGGTACGGGGTTACTTCCTTCGCACCATACATCTGCTCCCTGACCGGGGGGGGGTGTCGGAGCTTTAGACCTACATGGAGCCTCTGAGGTTTGAATGGCAGTCTTCATGCTCCAATCACAGCAGTGCATCTTGCATACAAAGTGTGGGGGGACAGTTTGTACCAGAAAAATTACTATTTCCTATTTTTAGATAGATCGATAGATACAGGTGTGTGTGGGGAGAGATAGATAGAGATAGAGATAGAGATAGAGATAGAGATAGAATATTCTAAGCATTTAAGTCTTAAGTATTAAGTCTTAATATGTTTCATGGTTGTATACTCTGCCAAACCATTTTGAAGTAGAAATAGTTTTAGATTCTTCTGGTTGTTATTTTGTTTTTAGTTCTGAAGTAGATATTGTAATATAATATAGTGAAAGAATGGCCTGATCTGCTCTTTGGAAATTCTGCTTGTAACCCTTGTTCTGTGCGTGAGAGTGAGGAACGTGTGGGAAAGAAGTGTGAAAGTCAACCAGATGCTAGGAGGAGGATCTGACAACAGACTAGGAGGTGCCAAAGATGACTACATATCAAACGAGAGCAGACTGGCAACCTGGGCCACCGAGGAAAGAGGGGAGCATTTATCTGTTGGGACAAGATATTCATGATCGAATCCAGCTCAGCTTGGCGGAGCAAAGAAGAGAAGGAGCAAGATAAACAACCAGAGACAACAAACACCCAACAGAAGCAAAACTTACAGATCCCTGTGAGGGAAAACTTTTATAAAAAGGAGCTGCTTTGCCATAATTTGGGGGGACGTCCTGCCAAGAATGGAACACCAGTCTGGACCAATAGACCCCTGCTCCTCCATCTGTGATCAATCTGATTGGCCATGGACCATGGACTGGTAAATAGAACATTGATTGGTGAGACAGCGTGTGTCTGCGTGTGTGTCTCTCTGTAAACATATGCTAACTGCTTTGCCATTCTATTCTCAATAAACGTGGCATATTGCCTTATCCCCCCTGGAAAGATCCCATGTGCTTCTTATAAGCGGAACAAGTCCTGTGCAAACATCTCTTTCAACTGCCAGGAACCAGAGACGAAGAGTAAGAAAAAATGTTGTCTCCTCACCCCCAGGCCTTTTTTCAACAGGTCACCAACTAGCCATCAGGCGGTAACTAAAGCCAGAGGCTGGATGTGAGTCTGTGGTCTGTGTTGTAGAAAGAGACAGCCGGCAGCTTGGGCCTGGTGCAAGGCCAAAGTCAGCAAAAGTTAGGCCCAAAAGCAGATGTTTGCCCGCAAGTCAAGGTCTGGTGTATGAACTCGGCAAGGGTACTGCGAGCACTGCCGAAACACACGGAACGTGTAAACATCCCAGCAGGCCGCCCCAGCCGAGCCCTCAGTAAGATAGCTTGATAAGAGCGACGAGCTGGGACATTTTGCTGGGAACATGAGGCGGAAAGGCCCAGGGGAGGTAACAAACAGGGAAAACACACGGTGATCTGGAAACTGCTGCCCCAGACTCTGTCTCAGTCTGTCAGCGCTGGGACGCCCTTGCTTTAACTCGGTGGGCACGGAGTGAGCTGTCTGTTGTCACGGGCATACACGTGTTAGGACACCTGACCCCACCTTGGAGCCGAGACATCCTGTTGCATCCACAACACACCTGGCCAGGTGCTTTACTACCCCAAGCCTTGTGGTCTCCTTGGGAAGTTTGAATGAATCCTGTTGTATGGGTGATCTGATCTGGCGCCGCAGCACAACACACCAAGAGAACACGCACGCAGCCAAACATCCACGACAACCCGGTGGCAAAAGACTCTCTGCTCCGATTTCCCAACTTCGCCCGCAGAGCACACGAGGTGAGCCAACTTAGCACTGTCAGGAAGAGTGGACTCCCATTGACCGGCAAGTCCTGCCATTTCGGGGAGCCCCTCGCATATGCTGGACAATTTCACACACGTAAGCCTGGTGTAAGAGCAACCGAAACGGTTTGTTCAGCAACTCTCACTTCTACGAGGACCTGCTGGCGGATTTGTCGTCGCGTGGCGTCTCTATGCTCAGGAAGCGGATCAGATCACACATTGCCTCAGCCAGTCGTGACCCAGACTGTTACCCTCACATTTTACTTTCTGTTATATACAGGCTGAACCTCTCTAGTGATGCACTCTCTGGTCCGGCAGGATTTGAGTTAGCCGCATGTCCACTTAGCATGAGTGTGGCCAAGTTTCCCGGGGTCCCATAAAGTTTGCTTACAGCCCCCCCTCCTGGCTCCGAGTGCTCTGCTGTGATTTAGCTCCAGTTTACCCCTGAATGTCTTCTCAGAGCCCAGCAAGCCGTGGAAGTGTTGGTGATTGTGCCAGACCAGTGGTCCCCAACACAGTGCCCACGGGCGCCATGGCACCCGTCGAGGCATTTATGTGTGTCCGCCGAATCATCTGGGCTGGCCCCTGCCCCGGGCGCGCGGCACACGTGCGGTGCTGGCCCCGGGTGCGTGGGTGGCCCTGCTGCATGTGTAGCCCCGCCCCCGGATGCACGGCACGACAGCGGCCCCACCTCCGGGCGCCCGGCAGCCCTAAAATGTGGGGACCACTGTGCTAGACAATATTGATTTCCTGGCAAATTCTCTGGTACAGCGCTGGTCAGTTCCCAAGGGCGCCGGATTAAAAAGGTTCAACCTGTATAATGAAGTGGTGTATTTTAACACCCACTGTTTGCTGTGTGCTTAGGCAACACAACCATTCCATTGTCAGCTGTGCTGAGCCGTGACACAGCAGGCGCGGGGTACGCTCTCCGCACGGCTATCTCCACACTGCGCATCTCAGAAGGGCTTTTTGAGTTGGCTTCCTTCAACTTCTTAATCACAATAACTTCTGTGGTTTCCAGCAAGCAGCTCCTTTCATCCCAAAGCATTTTTATTTGCTTTGGTGGGTTGTTGTTGTTTTTTTTTACAAACGATAGAGGAAGCACGTCACTAATGGGAGAGATGCAGTTGACCCTAGCGTGGAGCACGGCGATGCTGTAACAGTTCATAGCAGAGCCAAGCCGATTAGAAGAAAGAGCAACAACTATGAAACATACATTAAAAGAAGGACTGGTCCTAAGAGAAGCAGAATCACGTTCAGCTACCACTCTGGGGTTAACCCTGCTCTTGAAAAAACATCATGGGATCATTAGTGAGCAGGACAGATTTCCAAAGCTGCTGTGGGGGATTTGATGCCCAGTTCCTATTAAAATTAATGAGAATTGTGTGTCCAAATCACTGTGGAATTTCTAAAGTCACCACTCTGCACAGTCCATGTCACGTCTAGGAGAGAGATTATCCAGCAGCACAGCACCCCTTAGCCCTGTGGGTCTCAAACTGTTGGGCCTTTCCATGGACCACCAACCAACCACCCATGATGACAAAATGAGTGCAGGAGGAGGGGGTGCAAGGCCAGGATGGGAGGTAGGGTGCCGGAGGGGACTGAGGGCGGAGGGTCTGGGCAGGAAGGCGGGTGCAGGACCGGGGTGGGGAGACTGGGCAGGAAGGCGGGTGCAGGAGCGGGGCGGGAGACTGGACAGGAAGGTGGGTGCAGGAGAAGGATGGGGCTGCCGGGTCTTGGCGGGAGGGGAAGTGCATGAGGGCGATGGGGGTGCAAGGTCTGGGCATAAGGGGAATGGGAGATGCTTTCCTGGCTCTGTACTGCCCACCCCTCCCAGGCACTGCCCCCTACTGCTCCGGGAGTGGGAGGAAAAGACTCAGGGGGAAGCGACTCTGCATGCTGCTATTTTCCCAGCTGGGAAGGAAGGGAAGCAGTAGCAGCATGCAGAACCGCTTCCTTCCACCTGCCACGAATATTCCCAGATTAGGGACACTGTGCATATGGAGGTTCAAGTCTATTTGCATGAATAGCATCCACTGACACAAGTAGTCCCGTAGCATGATGGGGGCCGGGCATGGGAGAACTCCAACAGCTCCTTTAAGCTGAAAGCAAGAGCAGCCGAGTCCGCTCTGAGCAGCATGCTGCCAACACCCTGGTACCTGCCCAAGTGCCCAGCCAAAGGCACGTTCCAGAGGAACACGTTCAGCCAGAACAAGGCCACCCAACTTCAGCACTGGGGCATTTGTCAACTGCTAGCAAGCAGCTCCCCGGCTCTACTCTGGCACAGTCAGACCTCGCAAATCATGCAGGGAAAGCCCATGCTCTGGAGTATGTTTTCCCATAGTAAACAAAGAGGGTGAGGAAGGGAGAGAGGGGAAGAATAATGGAGCAAGACTCTATATCCCCTTACTGCAGAAAGCACATAAATCACTCAATATAAGAAGGTAGAACTTATATACATCGCATTAAGGGAGGCACAACAGATATGGAGAATTGGGATACTCCACTACAGAACGGGCTCTAGCTTGGACTGCATGTGATTTTAATCGGATTTTACATAGACACTGCTCTTTAAACAAAATGAAACAGAAATAAAATCAATCTTCTGTCGCTGGTTAAAACTCACATATGGCGCACCTAGAAAGCAGATCTTTTAGGGGAGTGATTTTTGCCTGGAAAATGCACACTCAGGTAGTTTTTCTACCACTGCCTTGTTCAGTTTTTTTTTTTATTGTGTTTTAAAAGGATCCCAAACTACTTTCCATAAATAGAGATTCATATGGGATTATTCACTGACCTCACTTCATCTATCTCCGAAATGCAGCCACTTCTGGAGTGAAATGCAGCCTTGGTGCAGCTGCACACACCAGAGTACAGAACAGTTAGTTGAGCTGTCAGTGTGAGGAATAATTCAGCCAACTGAAAATGTATGAGGAATTTAGGCTGGTCGGATACCTCCTCCTTCAGTGAGGATTGCATTTCTCCCCTAAAATAACCTGCGAGAATAAGTCTCAGATTTACAAGCAAACACACTAGATTAGGCAAGTATCAGAGGGGTAGCCAAGTTAGTCTGAATCTCAAAAACAATGGGAAGTCTGTGGCACCTTATAGACTAACAGATTTATTGGAGCATAAGCTTTCGTGGGCAAAAGCCCACTTCCTCACCTGTCAGAAAAACAGCACGATGATGC